TTTTTTTTTTTCCCCAAAGCTGGGACCTTATTTTGTCCTTGCACGGTCGGGCCGCCCGGGCAAACAAGGTGACCCGGGTGGCCTGGCTGGTAGCCTAGATTGCTGTAGTATTTTTTGTTCCTGTCAATTTTCAGCACAAGGATAACCCCTGAGAGCACCCTTGTTGAGCAATGTTTAAGCTCTGAATTTTGAACTGACCAGTTATTAAGTAATCTTAACATGCATGTATTAATATGTAGAGGTTTGAATTACACCAGGTTTGGGCTTTGAGTGGACGGGTAATGGGATGCTTTGGCATGTGATAACATATTTGATGTTTAGTATGTTTACAACTTTACATTGATTCTATGAGCTGTGCATTGAAATGCAGTGATGTGTTTCAGACTCTACCATTCAGCTACACAACAGGCCGCATACTGATATTAAATTGTGATAATCGCATCGTAATGCTATTTCTCAGGCCGGTGTGGGAAGAGCTGTCAAAGACATCAGCCAGACTATTGTTTGTTGCAGGCGCAGAGGATGCAAAGTTCGTAGCCATCATGCGATCAATGTATCGTCGTTCGCATGAGCGAAACAGAGATGGAGAGGAGAATTCTTCTCACAACCAAGTTCCGAACGTCCAGATGGTGGAGGTACCTGGATGTGGACATGTGGTGCATGTCGAAAAGCCAGATGTGCTGGTGAAAGCATTGCACAATTTTGCGTTAGGAAAGAAGATTGATGTCATGTAGAGAAAGCAGTTTTCCTTCAGTGAAGGAAGCATGACACTGGGTCGGCTCGTTGTAGAAAGGAAATGGGGTCGGCTCATTGTACAAAGGAAATGGGCTGAGCTTTCATATGGTGGAATATAAGAAATAGAAAATGAGACTGAAGTGAGAGCAGTGTTGGCATTAACGCTGAGGGCAGTGTGTGTGTTTGTGTGTGTGTGTGTGTGTGTGTGTGTGTGTGTGTGTGTGAGAGAGAGAGAGAGAGAGGAATTTCCATGAGGATTCTTGGTTTAAAATTAAAAAAGAAGATGGATGATTGTGAAAAAAAAAATAGTTGCACTAGGGCCATGGTTTCATTTTATTCTGGGGAGCATCGATCCCCTACAACATGATAAAGTGGATCAACCAGGGGTTTCGTTTCCATCGGATGCTCCGAACTAAGCACTTCTTTCTGTAATGGATGCGGTCCCTTCTATAGACCCAATATATGGGTTCGATTTCCTCTCCCACAGAATGTCAAATTTGCAGTCTGCACACATCCAGAGTGGCTCTGCTCCCAAAATTGTTGATCAGAAATGTTGGGTCCCCTGTGGGCCATTCACTAAGTGAAGCCAGAAACGACAGCGCAGTAGAGAGAGAGAGGGGAGGCAAGGAGGGACAGACTGTGTGGTTATGAGTGTCTGTCTGTGTTGTCTTGTTCGCTGTACACCACTCCACAAACAAAAGCATGACTATGAAAAGTGGTCGACTTTACTCACACCAACCCCACAATCCAAGATGATGACACCCCCAAGAAAAGTGGTCGACTTTACTCACACCAACCCCACAATCCTAGCAGACTGCCGGTCCAATCCCCCGACAAGGAGGGACAGACTGTGTGGTTATGAGTGTCTGTCTGTGTTGTCTTGTTCGCTGTACATCAAAAGCATGACTGTGCCAGACTGTTTCGTTGGACTTTCACCGACTCGTCAACAGGTTGAACCCCGAGAGTCTGCTCAGGATGCATTTGACTGATGGATAAGGACTCACCACGTCGCCCAGAGTTAGCGACACCCCCAAGAAAAGTGGTCGACTGTACTCACACCAACCCCACAACCCTAGCAGACTGCCGGTCCAATCCCCCAACAAGAATGGCAGCATGCGACCTATGCAACCAAGGCAACCCAGCACCACAACCCAAGACCACCAGGCACCAGACACCCCAAGCGCAGACAGCAGGCCAAGAGACTATGGACTAGGGAATGTAGCCAACAACCTACTTTAAATAATTGGAGACGAGTGTTGCTTTAAATACCCTACCCTAAGCTAAGCTATCCTACGGTTATGGGTATAGGTCTACCACCCTCCACTCAGTGCAGGGAGCAGCACCCAGGCTGCTAACACCTGGCTTAGGCCGGAACAACGTTTCCTAACCAGCCAGGAGGCCCAGAGCCGACAATCTCCGCTGGTGAAAACCGGAAGTATACCCCCAGGAGGCAGTGGGAATTGAACCCACGACCTCCTGAGTGCCACTTACGTGCTCAACGAACTGAGCTAGGCTGCTTGGGCTATGATATCAATCAACACTGATCATTTACAGTTACAATGGTTAGCAGCATTGATTTTGTGATGCAGAATCCGAAGAGTGGAGATCGAGGTCGGCGACCTTTCAATGCTGGTCCTGGCCATGTTACTGTACATTACAGTAACGTACATGATGGCAGAGGCCACTCGCCAGAGAGAGCTTGTTAAAGTAAGTAGACAGTGGATCAGTGAGCAACTGTAATCGCCATCATCTTGGTCCGAGGGGCGGTTATGTATGGCACTCACTTTTTCTTTTCTTTTCTTTTCTTTTCTTTGAGCCTGAATCGAACTCCTTTAAAATATGTCAAAGGTTTAAAGACGTGAGTTGTCTAGGCTCAAATAAAATTTCACTATATGCGGGAAACCGATTGTGTGTGTGTGTGTGTGTGTGTGTGTGTGTGTGTGTGAGAGAGAGAGAGAGAGAGAGAGAGAGAGAGAGAGAGAGAGAGAGAGAGCGGGGGCAAAGAATGACAAAGTATGCCAAGAGAGAGTGAGAAAAGGTGTGTTGTATAGGTTGGCCAATGCATGCACTTCAACGTTCAGTGTTGAATTCGTTGTTTCTGTGACGACATCCCATGAGGATGATGGAGTGATGTTTGCAGTTGTATACTGTTCTTCGTCAAAAATAAGAAAACAAAAAACAGACAATAGGGGGGCAAAAATGGCACCAAGACCATGGCTCCATTCTATTCTGGGTAGCATCAATCCTCTACAACATTCTACAGTGAATCAACTGTGCGGTCCAAGTCTAGTGCGTCATTCTCTTGTGGATGCAATAGACCCGATAAATGGGTTTGATCTCCACTGTGCAAGGAAGATGAGCATTAGCGAACTTCAGCAATCAAACAGCATCATACATATGAGCCCAGATAGTCTTGACCTCGAACCACAGCAGACTTGCATCACGAGATACACCAAATAAGAACACACCAAGAGTTCAAAATTGACAATGTTGAAGTAGTCCCATCATCATCAACTACGAACCAGAGTTGATATCCTATTGGCGCTCGGTGCCCAGACTACATGTGGCAGATCCTATCTAGCCTATACTACGAAGCAGAATGATGACATCAACAGCGTTCCCGAAGTACGAGCATATGGCGACTAAGGTCGCACGCTTCAGCACCAGGTATGTCTCTCGTAACACTCACAACCCCGATCCACACCGCACAGATGCCACTAGTACCCCAAGGACCACCTTGCGCTTCACCTAGCATACAGCAGCGCAGTTTGGCTATGGCTGCGTGCTCTCTCCTACTCGCCCGTGAGAGCGTGAGTGCCAGCCAGCCAGTGGATTGCGCAGCAGCGCTCACGCAGCATGCAGCCAGCACCCAAATGCCGAATGAGGAGGCAGGCCCTTCCCTATATCGAAGTGGCCTGCCTGCGTCCAGTCCAGGAAGCTTCCGGTAGGCCCCGGTAGGCACAGGCCCAGTCACGAAGAGAGCAGGCCTTGGGCCTGAAGTGGTTGCATGCGCCCAACCGCTTTCGGCCTGTGTTTGGCCCGGTACCCATATCCAGCCCAGGGCCTGCTTCACATTCTTTTACGCAGGCGGCCCAGGGCCTGGATTCATTCAACCAACTGGCGCAACGCAACTGTCTGAATTTCCCCGATGCGGGGTACCCTGAAGAGTGAGGCCCGAAGGGCCTGTCGTGCCTGCCTTCAGTTAGGGCGGCCGACCTTGTTGCAGATAGGGCCCCGTAGGGGCTAAGCGGGCGTAGCCTCGCATTCCGTCCTCCATATCTTCGTTAGTCCTCTGCGAAGATCAATCTTGAGCCATCTGGCGCTTTCCTTTCAATACATCCTTCTCATAGCGGGCAACGATTTGAGGAGCGGTCTGCATCAATTCYTCCCGAGTAAACCATCGGTCCTCTTTCGGATCCATGTGATGTCTGAAGTGAACACGGAACTGCAGTTTTGGCTTTGGAGGACATCCTTTTCCTGGAAGCTTCTGAACTGGCATTTCCCTGTGGTCGACGATATCATCGATGTCGACTTCTCCGTCCATGGTTGGGGGCAGCATTGACCGACGAGAGAGAAACTGATCAGTTTCCTTGAACGCAGCGAGCTTAGAGGCGTGAAAGACAGGGTGAGTTCTGAGATGACCAGGGATACAGATGACATATGATGGACCATAGAACTTCCCAAGGCCCAAAGTACTGAGGCATGAGTTTGCGGGATATCCCGAACTCCTGTCCCAGTTCTGAAGACTTGACCCAGACTATGTCCCCAACCTGAAATGTAGAAGGGCGGCGGTGTCTATTCTCAGACTCTATCATTGTTGCCTGCGCCTTCTGCATGTGTTCGACAGCCTCCTGCATCTTCTGTTCATATCTATAGGCGAACTCCAAAGTGCCCGGTGTAGCAATTGGCTGGATGTCTGGAAGTAGGAAGTCTAAGGGCAATCTAGGCTTGAATGTCAGTTGTAGACTGTTAGGACTCGTCCCGGTAGCACTGTGTATAGCGTTGTTATATAGATTGGCGACTAGGGCAAGCTTTTCGTCCCAGTCTACCTGATTGGGCTTGATGTAGTGCCTCAATAGGTGTTGCACAGCGCGGTTCATTTGTTCAGCCTGGCCATTAACTTCTGGATGATTTTCAGAAGTCATCTGCAGTTGAGTTCCTTGTTCAGCTGCAGCGGCCTTCCACAATTCACTAGTGAACCTGATGTCCCTGTTACTGACTATAGACTTCGGCAGTCCAAAGTCTCTAACCCAGTTCTCTTTAAATAGCCTGATCACGTACACGGTCTTCGCTGTTTCTAGCATAGCTATTAATCTAGCAAACTTACTAAACCTATCCACGATGACAAAGATCTGTCTCATCCCACTCTTGCTGGTGACCAGCGTATCCATGAAGTCCATGGACAAACTTTCACCCGGCCTTTCCGGAATCGGAAGGGGCTTGAGAAGCCCAAGAGGAGCCTGAGTACGGGGCTTGTCTCTTTGGCATACTTGACAAGTTTCCACGTACAGCTGTGCATCTTTCATCATCGTGGGCCACCAGAACCGCTGCAGCAAGTTTGCTGCGGTCTTCTTGTACCCAAAATGGCCGGTGGCATCATGACATTCGCCTAAAAACAAACTACGCAAAGACTCGCTATTTGGGACACACAAGCGTTTATTCCCTGCCTTCTCTAGGAACAGCAATCCATTGACCAACTCAAACTCGGCGGAGGTCTTCTTATCCTTCGCCTCAAGTCTGCGTATAATCTCAGACATAAACTAATCCTGACGATAGGCTTCCACCAAAGACTGAGTAACATCGTCCGTCAGATCGATCTCAGTAATCAGCGCACCTGAGAAGTCCGGTCTGCGCGACAAGGCATCAACAACCTTGTTGTACTCCCCTTTGAGATACTGAGGGTCAAAGTCATATTGCTCAATGACTTCGATCCAACGCTTGAGAGCATCAGAGAGTACCGGTTGTGTTCTCATCCATCTCAGGGTCTGATGATCAGTCCGGAGGATGAAGAGCCGCCCAAGGAGATGGTGTCTCCAATGGGTGAGAGCCTTGTACACCGCATAGAGTTCCTTCTCATAAGTGGACTTAGCCATCTGGTACAGAATACCAAGTTCACGATCTGTCCGCACCTTCGGTGACCCTGTACCTGACATTGTTTGTGAAAAATGTTGGGTTCCCTGTGGGCAATTCAACAGTTGAAGCCAGAATCGACGACACACTTTGTCCTTTTCTTTTTCGACTCCGCGCGACACCGTGCTCATTGTTTTAGGGTTCATTGTTTTTTCTGCTTCCCTCTTCCCMCCCCCCCAACCCCCCCTTTTCTTGCCATAGCCTGTCGTTTTCCATTCCGCTTGGCAGCCATTTGTTGTTTCACCATTTCTTTTCCCCCGCCAGTCGTTTGTCGTTTGCCCATCTTGTGTTGTGCGCACGGTCCCTGCTGCCACCAGGCTGCCGAGGTTTTGGCAACAATGAGGACTGCTGCAGCAAGGCTTCCCGCGTCTTGGCAACAATGAGGTGGTGGTGAAATTTCTCATGCGTCCAGCACGAGTAAGTACATAATGCAAGAAAGCAAATGATGTTAACCAGAATACTTACGAGGGTGAGCGGGAGAGAGTGACACAGAAGACCAACATCCATAGACCGACACTAAGGAGCTGACACCAAGACGGGGAGAAAGACGACAGAGCCGACACATCAGATCTCCAAAAACTCC